TATGCATATGTATAATATTACAGGTGGTTACAGATGATTTCTAAATGGTAAATTTGTCCTTTACAAGCAAACACCAAGCTGAGCAAGGCAGGAAGTTGATTGGAACAAGAATACTTGTCACAGGGCCTCAGCTCTGGTGTCATGAGTGCACGGTCGGTTTGGTCAAAGGTGAAACAACTCTTGAAAGTCTCTTACTGTTTTTTAGAGAGTTAGCCAGATCATTGAGATTCATTCTTCTGAGGAAGTGCACTGTAATCCTCAGAAAGGCCTTTCTGCATCTCCTCCTCTGCTCGTCACCGTCTTCATACATCATCCCCTCGTCCTCACAGTGGCTCTCTAAGTACGTGTATTCTGAGCAGTCTGGACTCAGAGCCCTCTGGAATCTCTTCAGCTGGTTTTTCATATATTGGATAATGTTTTCCTCTAACTGCTGCAGAAGAATCAAATACAAACATCAACATGGACAATGTTTATTTTTTGGCTGATGAAGTTAATGGTTGCAGCAACTTGTATAGTTACACACCATGAATGTGGAGTCAAGGTCAGTTTGATTGTTCTGTAGCAACTGACCACTGAGAACCACTGGGATTTCCTGATAGATTCTGTGAAGGAAACATTAACACAGAACTTATTCTCTGGAGATGACTTCTGGTCGAGTTTGACCTCAGTCGCTTCTGCATGAATTGTTTTTGTTGGAAGAGTAAACTACGACTGTACTCAGCTCCGTCAAATACTGTGCTGACAATACTGTAAACAATCAGAAACCATGGTTGACCAGAGATGTTCAGATCCTGCTGTTCAGGTGGAGTGATGGAGGCATCACACAGTTAAAGCTGGACACAGTTGTTCTGTCTTGGCTGACACACATTTTGTAATGTTGTGTGCAGATCTATCACAGCATGAGGACTGGAAGACAACCTAACGTTTTAAAAGTTAAAATATTCTGATTTTCAGGCTGAAACACAGCTAAGCTTTCCCAGGAAAGCTAATACGGAGACACTGGGCTCAAGGGGTCATGGAAGTTTGCCCATCATCTCTACACGTGTTTTGTGGACATGGAAAGAGCTTTTGACTGTATCCCTGGTGGACCATGCAGAGTCGCCCCTGGTCATCCCTCCTGGTGCTGATCTTCATAGACGGCAGCAGGCCAGACATCAGATTTGATTTGATCTCAAAGACATTTTTCTGCTCTTGGAGGACAACCACAAGCTCCAGCAGATACTGGGCAGGTTTGCTGTGAAGCACTCCGGATGAGTGGCAGCACCTGAGGTTGGAGTTGATGCTTTTGTGAAGAGGTATGGTGTTTTTTTGGAAGTTAGACCCTGAATTGGGATTTTTTTATTATTATATTAAATTCGTGTTCGGGAGAGAAAATGTGTTTGTTTGAGTTTTGTAACCTCACCTTTCTTCATTTGAGTATTGTCCACCGCTGTCGAGGGTCGGTGGATACTCGTAAAGTTCGTAAACACTAATAGAAACAAAAAAAAACATATGACCAACAATTTTACTCAAAAAAGGTTCAAACCGAATCTTGATATTGATACATGACGTTCGTGTTTGAGAATGAATTGTCTGAGTGTAGAACCTTCACACACTTTTCAAAGCAGAGGAGCAATGGAAATAAGAATTCTCTGTGGCTTCAAAGAGCCAGGTCCTGGTTTTGAACCTTCGGACTCTACAGGTCATAGTTAATGTTATTTCCTCTTTGCTTTGACAGGTCAGAATCTCCGCCTTGAAAAGGTCTGTTACATTTTTACCTTTCACCCTCTGAGCCTCGCTCATCGTCGTAGAGGGTCGCTCGACACACGTCGCTCGTCTCCGACGCTACAGACTCTTGTGTCCCATAAATGTCATAAAGACTAAGAAACACAAAACAAAGTGTACGTGATTTTTTACTGACAAAAATCCAAAGTTTAATTTAAACATTGATAACAAGTTAGTGTTTCAGAAGAAAATTACCATGTGAGTAAATGTATCTACGACATTGAGCTCCAAGGTTTTCAGTGTGAACGTAGAGCGCAGACCGAACTGACAAACATCTGGAGTCGATGATTTAGGTAAATTCATTGAATTTATGATTGTACTCTGAATCCACACTGATAAACGATAAACACGTGACGTGATGATTGGATGTTGTCTGGTTGTGTTGGGAGACCCTGGATCATATATAACAACCCAAGTTAAACATATTTAAAAACTATATAAGTACAAATATGATGAAATTGATGAGCAACTCAACGTGCAAATAGAAATAAAGAGTCTTTGTCTTTACATTTTGCTCTTTGTTATGGCAGCCCTGTGACTCCATACTTTACAACAGAATGACTTTGTCCGGTTACAAAAGGTTGGTTATATATTATATAGATATTATTTACTTTTCATCATCATGTGAGCGTCGTCCATCGTTGTACAGGTTCGATTCATACACAGATCCGTCAGGTTGAGGGAAGTCTGCTCCCTGCTGGTGGATCCTGATAACAACACAACATTCAGTCAGAAGAGTGGTTTATTATTTATATAGTAACATTTTCATTTCCATACGGGATTAATAAAGTACTTCTGATTCTGATTAGATCGTTTCTACATATGGATCAACACAAGTCTGTCTGTCTGTCTGTCTGTCTGTCTGGGTTAGGGTTAGGGTTAGGGTCCTCTCACCTGTCAGTCTCATGTTGTCCACACAGAGTGGTTTTAGGGGGTGGGGCTCCCTCGTCCCTGTCCTGGCTGTCTGTCTGTCTGTCTGTCTGGGTTAGGGTTAGGGTTAGGGTCCTCTCACCTGTCAGTCTCATGTTGTCCACACAGAGTGGTTTTAGGGGGTGGGGCTCCCTCGTCCCTGTCCTGGCTGTGATTGGCTGCAGAGCTTCCACCTTAACACAAACACATTGTTTGTTCTGTTAATATTTAAACTTCTGTGTTGATGAGTATAAATATATTATATATATCTATATAGATATATAGAATATATTTATACTGTGTGTGATGTTCTGTTCTTCACCCTCCAAACTTCTATAACCAGAGTATGATTTATAAATAAGATTTGAAGGTCTTCATCTTCTCTACCTCTGTGTGCGGAGCCTTGAGAGAATGTATATTTTGATTTGGCGCTATACAAATAAAATACTTATAATATGTGTTTGCTGCTGAGGTTTGATTCTTTTCTACGTTTTGATTTCATCTGTTTCCTTTTCTCTTCATTCAAATGTTTGTGTGTTTAAATGACAAATAAACTTCATTCAACTAATCTCAACATTTTTGTCTCTACAACAGTTTTATTCCTAATATTTGACATAACAATGTTTTGTTGTTTGAATGTTTGAATCCTCACTCATTCAGCCACCAGGTGGCGCCAACGTGTCTTTGTCTCAAAGTCACTTCTTTTTAAGGTCATGTGACCTGACAGCTTAAATAGTAAAGGATTTGTGTTTATTTAAATATTTTCTCAGCGGTAGTTTAGATTCACTGTCTTGCCCAAGAAATTTTGACGTGTGGAACGAGGCAGACTGGGATCAAACCAACGACCTTCTGGTTAGTGGACAACCCACTCTCCCCCCTGAGCCACAAAAGTGACAGAAAAGACTCACCAGCTGAATTCATGTTAACGTGTGAAGATGCTGATTCATCGGTTCAAGTCTGAAAACATCAACATTCAGTGGTTTGTCACTAACATCACTTCACGTATTACTGCACCTGAAACAAACAGGATTCTACTTTTCAATATCTGTAATAACAGAACGTCTTTTTACACATTTACTAAAGATTTCTACAGATACAAAAATGTTTTTTTACACATATAGAAAATATTTCAAGCACAAAATATCTGTGAGCCTAAGGTTCTAAGGTCACAGATATTTCAGTGAAACGTTCTCATGACTTTAGGGTTGAAATAAGTAAACGGCATCTTGACCTTTGAACCTCGTTGCTTCACATAAAGAAACGATAGAATTAAAGACGTGAGCGACAGACTTCATTCTTCATCGTTTGTATCATGTGACGTTGACATGAAGACGTTTGTGTCGTCGAGCCGCTGCAGCTCAGATTATAATACATGTCACTGGATATAAATATCATGCGGTATGTTGAAGAGACGTGATTCTGAACTTTAACACCAGTTAATCGCTAACAGAGCGTTAGCATCACATGGGAGGAACAGCGGCTCGTAAAGAGGCCAAAAAGAAAAGACAACTGCAGATTTCATGATTCAGTTCTTTTTCTACCTAAAGTAAATAATTCATGTGTAAACTGAAGTCAACATTTCAACAAAGAGACATTTTTAAAACCAACATGAGTCCGACTCACAGCAGCAGGAGAAGCACAGGTTCACGTCTGCAGCTGAGAATAATCCCTGAAGGTGGAGTTCCTCTGATAACACGATCGACCTGTGAACTCTCGGAGAACTTATCAGCTCCTCCCTCAGTAAATCAGCTGTCAATCATCCTGACGTCAGCTGATAATTGTACATGTAGGACTTTTATTA